GCGAGAGGAGCGGTAACCTTGTAATCACCTGCCTTTCACAGGAGGCCTCTGGGATGTTCCAGGAGCTATAATTTACTGAACTGTATCATTTAAACTAAAGTCTGGAAAACGCGTATCTACCTTATGAATGAAATCTTTGGGAATTAGGCAGTTAAATATCCAGCGGGTCTGGGTCTTCCAAGCAAGCATGTGAGGTCAGCACTCTCTTTTCATCTGCTCCTGAGCTTTGTATTTTAATTTTTTTGGTTTCCAACGAGAGTCGCCTTTGCTCTGTGTTCCGGACAGTGTGAGGATGTGAGTCCTGCCTTGATGCAAGCGTGCTGAGCCCCGCCATGAGCACTCCTGCCGCTCTCCTTGGGGCAGTGGAGCGTTGCCTTCCTCCACCCAGCCTGTCCTCCCTGTCGCGCTGGAGCTAGAACCGTGTTTGGAAGCGGCAGCATAACTCAGTTGTGGGGAATTTAAGCTGCTTGAATTCGTTAGAGGCCCCTTATTAAAAAATTGCTGTGTTTTATGTCCCTAAACTCTTGCGAGTCTTTAATCCTCTGAGGGAGCTCCCTGAGCTAGCGTAGTACGAGGACGCAGCCCCTCTTGCAGTCTGTGTTGCCCCAGCAAAGCTGCCTTGCGGTTTGCTGAGTAAACCCTCCCTCTGGACCCAAGGGATCGCTGGGAAGCTGACCAAGCGGGGAGTGTGTTTCTGCATCAGCACGGCTTACGAGGGCACCTACTTGGATTCCTACTACCTGGACCTGCTCGCCAAGGCAGAAGTGCAGATTCACCGCCACTCCGTCCCCATCTTCATCCCCCTGGAGCAGATCGCCAAGAAGTACTTGCAGACGGACATCAGGCGCTTCTTGTCTGTCCTGTCCGACCACCTGAACGCTTACGTGGGGAGGAGGTACCAGGCAGACCAGTTACAGGTATCAGTGGCCGCAGCAATGCTGTTCACCCGTCCTTTTCCCTTTGATGTACCAAGTGTTACGAGTCTCTGAAGTGCTGGGGGGAATCTTGGCACTTCTCTTTATGCGGAGCCCAGTTCTGGTTTTTAGAACTTCTCGTGCAACTATGAACTCGTTTACCCGTTTCATCGATTGTCACGTACTTGGATGTTGTCTGGTGGCTCATTTAAAATTTACTGCCAAACTCCGGAGGTCCCTAAGCTGAAATAGCTGTGATCTTGTAAAAAGCCGCTGGAGGACATGGCTTAAGGGTGTGCACGAGCATTGGTTTATTTAAGTCTTTCCCAAGTGAGGGTTGCTCGATGTACAGCGTACGGGCATGCCAGGCTGGTACGGAGGGTGGGGGCACTGCACTCGGCGAGCTTCCAGCCCCACGCTAATGGACTCCCTTCCTAGCTTCATGTTTCAGAACTTGTCTTCGTCCCTCTAGGAACACTTTTCAGACCAGATAGAAGGAACCTTGCAGAGGAACTCCTTGTGTAACTTGCTGGTCTTCAATTACAAAGTGTCAAGTAAAAGCAAGACCTTTCCGTTCAACGCGAGGCTGCTTTATGGAGATCTCTGTCGCAGCCTCCCCACTGAAGTCATCGTTTCCTGCACACGTAAGTGGACGGTGCAGGGGTCTGTCTGGGGGTGTGGGGTGAGCAGGCTGTACTGTGGTTCTGCAGACAGATGGGGTTTCTTTCTAGTTGAGTTTGGGGACTAAAGGGAGCAAGCTGTCTTATTTCTGAGGGAGAAAAAATTATAGAAGAGGTTGTGTGCAATCGGTGCTGGGTCTTGAAGCAGTTGTAATTCATCCCTAGCACAAGAGCACGGATCTCTTGCAATACTGGCAAGATGGGGTGGCTGGAGGGAGGGAAATATGGGGCTGAGAAAAGAAAGGTGTGAGCGCGAGCTTGGATCACGTCAGACGGACGGGCTGCTGGTTCCCAGTTTGCGATTACTCGGAGTGCAGGCTCCGGTATGGTCCCAGCAGGATCAGGATGCTGTTCTCACAAGTCTCACGGATAGAGCCCAGCCTGTGCTAGCGCACTCTGCACATGTGGGAGAGCCTGGTGAGCAAGTGCAGCCAGAAACTGGGACGCTGCCAGCCTCAATGGCAGTGGTAGTTTGTTCCAGTCGACTTACGGCCTCGGACTCGTTTCTGATCCTTGAAAACCTGGCACCCAGCCCCGTGATCTTTCGGAGCGTGGGAGTTACTTGTAGGTAAATAAGACAGGATCTTTTCAGCGCCAGGAATTTCTCTCTCTCAATGCAATCAGATAAATGACTAATTGAGGCCTGGTGTTGGGATGTCTCACATTGTGCAGCCAGGCCCTAACTGCCCCTGCTGCACTCGTAGGTGCGCTGGCATGTGCTGCAGTGCATCGGCAGAGAGAAGAGAGGCAGGAGCGAGGGCTATGACCCCTTTGAAAGGGTCAGGGATACTGCGAAATACTCATAACGGAGGTCTGAATACTCCTAACAAAGATCTCTGCCTGAAAATCTTTTCCTGACGTCACCTGCTCCCCCTCTTCTGTATCAGCAATGCTCCCTCCTCCCGGTACGGCAAAGACTGACCGCAGCGCTGAGTGGCTGGTGCAGCCCTAACGCCGTGGCGCGGCTTAATCCTGGATCTGCGCTACCGGTTACTACAAATGCCAAACTGGGCTGAGGAATCATTTGCCCGTCTGTCTCCCTATGTTTCCAGCCACGCCGTGTCCCACTCACGGCTGGCTGGCCGGGCTGCGGAGCGCGTGGACCAGCGTGCAGCTAGATGGAGCTCTGGGCAGAGCAGCTGGGACTAATATTCTCTTCTCTCTGCCATCAGTCACGGTCTCGGGCCTGCTTCTGCGAGCTCCTTGGCCTGCAGTTAGGCTGGAGGAGGGGTCGTGTACTGTATCAACAGTTCCCCCTCTCCTTTCCTTGCAGTAGCCATCCTTTTAATAGGTGAAGTTCTGCCTTTGCTCACAAATTTCAATGCCTTCTGAGCTGAGGGAGCAACCAGGTGGCTGAGGCTCCCACGTTACGGTCAGCAGTGGGTGTTTCTTAAGGCGCTTGCGCTTTCTGCAGCTGTCAAATCCCATGGGGGAGCTGCAGGACGCGAAGGGTTAAGAAGGAGAGAGAAGGGTTACGAGAAGAAAAACTGTATGGCGAGGGAGAGTGCAAAACTCTCTGGGGACAAGGGAAGAATGAGAAGCGAATAGTTTTATGCTGGCAACATGGTGTTCCTTTCCCCACTGATCCGTCCGCTTCTGTCTGCCAGCGGACGCTCCCGCATCACTAGCAGAGACGGCAGCGGCTCACTCGGACTTGTTTCGCCGCGGGGCCCTGCACAAAGCCTTCCGCTCCTTCAGCAGCGCTGAAGAAAGCGGCGATGGAGCTCCGTAAGCCACCCCGGCTCTCCTCAGTAACGCTCCTCCCCGAGCTCCCCCGCCTGCGGGGAGCGATCTCGAAATGCAAATGTTTTCCGTGGACTGCAGCGCTGCTGCTGGGAACCCCCCGAGGAGCGACTGGCCCAGTTTGAATCTCGAGGCTTTGGGGTGTCTGTTGTTGCAGGTAATCTTTCCTCAGCGCTGTGCTTCGCGCTGTGCTTCTTGCTTGTTCCAGCGCTGATCTCTGCGGTTGGTGCCGCGGAACTCCACAGTTGCAGGAAACGTCTCGCGGTTGGAATGAAAAACTATATTAAAAGTTCAAGATCGTGGTGCTTTGGGGGCAATGCCCGATGGATCAGCACCGTGCACTTATCCAGCGTACCTCAAAAAGAGGGGAGCAAGCGAAGTAATCTGTGCCCTCCTTACTACAGCCAGGAAAGGATGTCATGTTAGAAGCTGGAAGGGGTTGAGGGACAGAGGTGGGGTTTCGTTATGGCCAGCAGCAGCCCGTGCCCTCCTGCGGGCTGTCTTAACCCCCGCCGAGCACGAACACTGAACTTTCCAGAAAATTTCACACCGGCAGTGGCTTTACGTGTGCTGTTTCCTCCCCTTCTGGCGTGGGGCAGCTTTGCTGGTGTCCCGTCGTTGTGCTTCAAGGCTGGATCAGATCTTTAAAAACTTGCTGTTTTGTAACAATACTTTAAAAACTTGTTAATGAAAGTTCTACGTTACTGAAATTGTGGTGTTTAAAAAAATCTTCTGTTGATTTCCTTTAGCCTTTTAATGTGGTTTAGTAGAATAAAATGGGGTTTAAATGACAATATATATAATGTGGTTTAAATGACAGTATTTTCTCCTGTCTCATTTTTATGCCAGTCCCATGTGTGATAAGGCACAGGGAAAGCACTTTATAATTTTTTTTTTTTATTTTTTATTTGATTATTAAACCTCCTTTTCCAGATTGAACTGGACAACCTGTTTAAATGTAACCTCCAGCTTTCGAGTCTCGTAGCTCCAGGTAGAGATTCCTGCCCCTAATATTCAGAGCTTCTCACGGAGGAAGGCTGACCAGGCTGACACCGACCAGCTGAAGCCGCTTTAGAAGAGCCGACAGCTCGTGGGGTGCTTGCGGGGGGAGGCTCCTGTTTGGAGAGGCCTGGGCTTTTGAATGATGCCAGCTTGTGCACCATCGAAAGGCATTTTCATTGTCCCACGTCACTTTTAATTCTGTGGTTGCGTTTTCTTCTGTGAAAAACGTTTGGAAAGTGGAAAAAGCGCTGCTGGGTGCCTCGCCTGTGCCTGAGGGCCGCCGTGAGTTTGCAGGGGACAGACTTCCGTGTAAGTCCCTGCCCTAACCTTGCACACCTCCCGCGGGGAGGCAGAGCCTGACCTTGCTGTGGGGTGAAGGTCTGGGCCAGGCTTTTGGGGGAAATCTGTGGGAACTGGGCACTTAAGCTGCTAGGCTAAAGTGCTCCGGCTTGTCACTGGGGCAGCTGCGGCAAAGCCAGGCTTAACCCAGGTCTTGGACCCAATCCCCTGTTTGTGTGGGACAGAGGGAGGCAGGTCCAGGCCAGGAGACCCGTCACACCTCTGGGCTTCTCTCCCAGGGTACAAACACCCCCAGAGGGCTGCGTCTGGCAGGGCGGGCGCGGATGCAGGTTTCTCCCCCTCTCCAGCATCGCTCCGAGTCCCCGTGGGTGCTGCTTGCACCCGCAGCCAGGCCCTGTGAACGCAGGGACGGAGCAGCATGGGTGGTGGATGTGGTTTTTTATTTCCTTCTGCCTGACGGGGTGGAGATTAAACTCCTGTATCGTTTGTATCACCGTTCCCAGTGGTTGGGTACTCGGCTGAGCCCCAACGAGGGAGAGGAGCGAATGCCACCGATGGGAGGTGCTCACCCCTCCAAAACAAACATCCCC